TTTTTGTATTTTTTGTGCAGCAAAACTTACATCAATAAATCGATGCCCAAAGATCTTTTCAAAGGATAAGAATCATTTGAACAAAATGTTAAAATTTATATTTATTGAAGTAGAAAAACTGTCTTTAAAACTCGAATAAAATTGAGAAACATATTTTATAGAAATTTATTATATTTTATAATTATAAAAATTACTTTATTAATTAAATTGCAGAGAAAAATATTCAGCTCTCAAGTATACAATCAAACTACCTAGAAAAACAGCAACGACGAAGATTAAAATTCCATTCAATGTATTCTACATTAGTTATTAATTCAATAAAATTTTTAATAAATTTAAGTTCTGTTAATGTATTCCTTTTTTATGAAGTTTTCAATGTATTTTCCAATGCAAAAATAAATAATAAATTCTTAATAAAAAATTTCACAATTGAAAACCCATGCATAGCACGTTTTGATCACTTGTTTTATTTTATCGATAGGAGCCATCAAAGTAAAATTAATTTTAATAAATTGCACTATTTTTATAATTTTGAATATTACATATTTTATTTAAAAAAATATGATGCAACTTAAATTGTATTAAATTACTAGAAAATATACTGTTATGGCATTTAGTTGGCATCAAAGAAGACTAGAAAAATGCTATAATGTCTGGTTTTCTCAATTTCTTTATGACAAAAAAGCAGCTGGTATTTTATTAAATTTTAGGGGATGGGCAATAAAAGCAATTATCTGGTACAGATAATTATTAGTCTCATTACCAAATCTTAATTGCAACAGCTTTAGAAAAAAAGGCTAAAGGATAAATAAAACTGTTCCCAATTCAACCCTTCTCTATACCCTACTCAAGTGTGACCTGTACCAAAATATTAAATTTCTTGAGGTGAAAACTATAAACAATCATATATGATTTTTATGATTCAATAACTTCATACACTAAGCTTAGGTAATGAGAATTCTTGATGTTAAATACCACCTCTGTTGTTTTTAATAAGATTTTGTCAAACTTATCTGAATAAACTAGGTAGCATTTCACTGTAAGGTGAATAAAGACTCACGTTGATATCATCCAAGTACCCACAACATAAACCAAGAAAGTAACCTAACAATTGAAATTATAACATTAACTTAACAAACCACTAGAATACCGAATAGGTGATTATATTTCTGCCCCCTGTTTGTTTCCAATACCATGAACTACCATACCAATCACTCCAGTAGCAGAACAAATAATGTAAGTTAATAAATCATCAAGGAAAGAAACAAAAACAAAAGATAACAAACATAAGGGCAGTTGCATACTGTGCATGGGTGGATAATGGAAGTGCTGCATATCCAATTACTACCTGCCAAGTAAAAGAACAGAACTACTTAGGATTGCAATAAAAGATAGAATGAGAGGAGTGCGAAACAGGCCAAACAACTAACCAACGAGTATACAACCACTAAGATGAGGTTCAGATGATTTTGTATTATTTCAAATGGAAGGAAAAGAAAAAAGGATCTCATTGAACTCACTGGTTTTGGAGCTTCTAGTTTCATTTGAAGGTCAACATAGAAGAAAGTGAATAGAAGGTGATGCAATGGTGTCCAAACAGCAGGGAGAGAAACTTTAATTTCATCATGGTAGCAGGCCACCCGAGCACCAACAGCAACTTGCATGTGAGCCCACTTCTGAAGTGATAAACCAGGTTCCCTTGGATACATTGCCTAGTCATATCAGTAACACAGAAAGAACAATAAGACGAGTTTAAAAATCATAGTGCAAAGTATCACTCAACAATTTTACCTCTGAAGGTTGTCTATGAACATCTGCATCATCCTTTCTTAGCTCAACTCTTACAAATAGATTCCTTTTCCAACTCAAGCTCACAGTTAAAGGATATACATATAGAGAATGGAAAAGCTGCAAGAATGGTTCGTTTCTCAAAGTTGTCCGAAACAAGGTTTTTAAAACCGGATCGGACCGGCCGGTTGAACCGGTCGGACCGGTACCCAATGATAAAAATAGTTTGGTTCACATAAAAAACCGTTTGAGGTCAAAACCGGTGAAAATCGATAAAAACCGATAAAAACCAATAAAAACCGATAAAAACCGATAGAACCAGTTGAACCAGAAAAACCACATGTTCAATTTCTTATGCAATCTTCTTTCAATTTTTTCCAATTTCACCCTTCTCATTCCTTTCTTATACCCATTTTAACCTTTAATTTTAACAAAATTACAAAATTATCAACACCAAATTAAAAAATCCATGCCTGCAGCTTGCTCCTCTCATCAAACCTTCCTTATTGTTTGGACCGACCGGTTCATTGGTTCAATCGATTGAACCAATCAAATCAGAAACCAAACCTAAAAATGGTTCAATGACCGATCCGGTTTTAAAAACCTTGGTCCGAAAGTCAAATGCCTAGAACTGCAAGTTAAAATTAAGAAGCTAATTATGGGTAAACAAGTTCCACACGAATAAAAAAAAAGTTGCATCGGTAAGAGGTATTCAAACTTCAAAGGAAGACAGAATAGCTCCAACACATATAACTCTTCATGAGAGGAGTTGCTTGGACAAGCAACATCCATATAAAGATCATTACACCACATGTAGCATGTGACTGGAAAGCAACTTCCACGACCTCAGCTAAATTTTCAAGCAAGTCAAAAAATAATGACTAATTGAATAGAATTCAAGTACATCAACTTTACTTTAAAAAGCAATTCTCATCATTTAAATGCCCCTTGCCATATGGAATTGGGATCAAGAGGCACAGAAAGAATGCTCCTGCTCTTTCACATGCATCAACTGAGGGATAACAGGAGATGATTTGAAAGATGATTAAGGGTTGCTTTTGGAGCACAGAAAATTAGCATCTGGACATTGCTTCCAACAGCTATACCAAAGATGGAAAGCCAATACTATTATGAAATCCAAAACAGAAAAACAGCATAGGAAAGACTACCAAAAAATGAAACTAAAAGGGATCAGACAAGACGTTTTGTCTTTTTCAAGAAATAATTTGATCTAAACTACTAATGGAGAAAAACACTGATTTAGAAAACTCAAACAGCTTCCATGATGCATGTTGTAAACCTCT